GTGAGATTGACTGTCAAAGATAGAACTTGGGAACCTTTTCTGCAAAAGTATGGCACGGATTTTTCAGACATTTAAAAACCCAGAAATTATCAAAGTTAATTGTGAGGATCTTTTTTGCTTTATGTGGTTTCCTAAGTTCTATTAACAAAAGTGCCAACAGAATTTCAACCGCTTCCTCCCAGCTTTCCAGGTAGGTATGCTCTTGCGCTTTGCAAACTTGCGTATTGCTGTCTCCTGAGTTCTTTGAGCCAAACTGCATCCCCCTCTCCTCCCATTCTTTTTCATCCAATTTCCTTTATGAAACTCCCGAACTACCAATCTTTTCTGCCATTCCACATCCTTCAGATCTTACTTAATCGCTTTCGAATCTTGCCCAAATGTGCTGCTGTTGAGAAAATGCGAACTGCGCCTTTACAGTCCCCCGAATCAAGCCAAAATTGGCATGTTGTGCCGCGCACGCCAAGATTTTCCGTCATGTCTGCTGTTTGCTAATAGTGGTTAGTTGGGACCTGTCTGTTCCCACCTTTTCTTTGAACTTCCCTGCAAGGAAATGCAGCGCAAGCCCTTAGCGTTTTCGTGCGGTTTTGAGGCAACGTTTTAGCGTGATCACCTTTCGACAAACTGCAGCTGCCAAAATGGCTCATTCACACATTTTGAAATCCTCGGATACCCTCAAATTCTCACATTCAGAAATTTTTTGACAAAGTGACCGTCACGTCACAAACTCGGCAAGCTTTTCCCAGCTACAGCTGTGTACATTCCTCCTGACTCTTTTTACCCGGGGCCCTGCTCTCCTCATCGACTGTCCCTACGAACTACCTTAACATTTCATTCCCTTTAGATCTTTTGGGCCCGTATGTAAACCTGGGGTGAATTAAGCGATGTCCCCGGTCATGAAAGGGCCGCGGGCGAACATCGCTGCAGCTCTAGCCAACGTTCCAACTTATAGTTACAAAATCTTCTGAATCAAAGAACATCCCTTCCTCATCACGAAATATGCGTTGTTGGAAGCTTGCTCAGAGTCTTTTCAATTCAAAAATTCTAATTCCAAACTCCCGTTCGCGTTCTATATGGGCTTTTCAAATTGTTCAACACTTATGATAAGCCCAACTCCAGTGTCTACCCCAATTTCCAGCTCATCTTAGTAGGCTACTGACTTGAATATAATCAAGAATTCTACTATCAAAGTGTATATCCAATTTCAACTGTTCATCCAAACACTGTCTATACGATTTTGAGGTTGTGCAATGTTTTGACAAAATTACGGAAACAGCATCATTATATTGTTCATGATAATTGATAGAATCTTTTTAGAATCATTGATTTTTTGGTCAGTTTTGCCAATTCTTCGGTTTGAATATACTTGTACCGTGTTTTTTTTGTATTTACTGATACAAAATGGCAGATGATGATCGTTTTGAGATCAAAACGTTACTCTCAAAAAAAAACTGCCCAGCTTCTAGAAAAATTCCTCATAAATGCAGCCACATTAGAGGTGCTGCTCAAATCGCTCCATTTTTATTTCGAGTTTCTCAGAAAAAACTTCAATTGACTTTTTCTTGAGGCATAGAACTTTGCAGCAATTATGAAATCCTCAAATCTAATATAATTTTAACATAAATGAAAAATTGCTCATAAAAGTGAGATTGCATATGTTGGTGCGCTTTTGTTGCTCTAGGAGCGATCAGAGTTGCATAAAAGGAGAGATAGTTGTAAGAATCAGAAATAGTCACAGAAACGATGAGGTGCGAAAAGGCAGGTATCACAGGGCGATGGGAATGATAGCCTTTCAGATGAAACAAACGATGGTAGAATACCTTACCCGTCTTTAGATTCGGATAATGGAGTCAATTCGTAGCTGAAATAAAGCGAAATATCGTGAAGCGGTTATAAGACTAATCGATTTCACCGCTTAGGAGTTGTGGTAGCAGCGTTTGACTGCTCGTGCCTGCGTAAGGAACCTTGATAAACAATAGCGAAGACAGACAGTCTGATGGCAAAGATCACTTGTACACAAAAGGGCAGTGGTAAAGTGCAGGTTCGTGGAGCATAGTGGTAAAGGGCAGTGGTAAAGTGCAGGTTCATGGAGCATAGTGGTAAACAACCCAAACATGGCACGAACAGACCGACACTGACGTCAGATGGGGGTGCCTGCGCTTTATTAAAGAGTACCAGTCCGAAGCGCCGCTTCGCGGCGCTCCGGACTGGCTGTGTGTGTGAAGTGGTAAATGACTCTCAAAGTTAGAGCGTGGAAACCTTTTCTCCTCCAAAAGTATGGCGATTTCTCAGACACTTAACGAATTCGGAGATCATCAAAGTTAAATGTCAGGATCTCCTGTTTTAAATGGTTTCCCAAGTTACATCATTAACCAAAGTGATGAATTGATCGCTTCCTCTCAGCTTTCTTTGCAACTCGCGTTCTATTGTCATTCCTGAGTTCTGAGCCAAACTGCCCCCCCCCCAACTCGTTTTCATCCAAATGTTTCCTTTATAAACCGCCGAAACTACCGATCTTTTCTCGCATTTTCAAATCCTTTTGATCTTACTTAATCGCTTTCGAATCTAGCTTCAAAGATGATGTTGAGAAAATAGCCACCTTACACCTTTAAAGTCTGTGCACCGAATCAGGCCAAAATTGATGTGATGAGCTGCGCAACGCAAAGATTCTGCATCATGTCTGCGGCGTTAGGACTTGTCCATTCCCACTTTCATTGAACCCTCCTGCCATGCGAAATGCAGCGCAAGCCCTAAGCGTTGGTGTGCGGTTTTGAGCCAAAGTTTCAGCGTTATCACCATAAACTATAGCTGCCAAAGTTGCTCATTCCCACATTTGCGAAAATCCTCGGATACTCTCAAATTTTCACATCCTAAAGTTTTCTGACCAAAGTGGCCGTCACAAACCCGGCAAGCTTTTCCCAGCTATGTATATTTTCATGGCTGTTTTCACCCGGGGCTCTGCTCTCCTCATCGACTGTCCCTACGAACTACCTTAGAAGGCCCATATGAAAAGCTGGGGTAAAGTAAGCGACGTCCCTTGTCATAAAAGGGCCGCGGGCGAACACTGCTATGGCTTTTCATCATTGGGGACGCCCTTCTTTTTTTGCCACTGGGAGGATTTTCATGCATATGGGCCTCAAAGTAACTCTTTGCGAGATTTCAGCAAGAGGAGGATTCAACTCAGCGCAATTGAATGCATTCAGCCAAAATTCTAACTTACTATTATGTAATTTCCTAAATGAAAACACCTCCCTTCCGCCTCACGAAATATGCTTAAAAAATTCTAATGCCAGGGCGCGCGTTCGCGTCTTATATGGGCTTTCCAAATTGTTCAACAATCTGGAAAGCCTTCCATATAAGACGCCCATTTAGGACTATAAATTCCACCCGAAATGCTCTAAAGCTCCCATTTTCCAACTCATCTTGGTAGGCTGACTCGAATTCCGTAAGGAGAGCTAGTATTGAAGCGTATATCCAATTTAAGCTGTTCATTCAAGCAAATCACCGCTGTCTATACGATTTTGAGGTATTGCAATGTTCTGACAAAATTGCACTAAAAAGCTACATGTTCCTGAGGTTAGCAAGGGTTGAGTTGATGGTTAGTGAAGCTTCCCTTTCTTTCCATCTCTTTTGTTCACAATTGGTATATTGATAGCAGACAAACAGCGTGTAGCTCTTTTCAAAACTTCTCTCACGATCACAGTAACTTTTACAGTTTTTTTGAAATTTTCAGTCTTTGGATTATTTTAAAATCTTGAGATGAAGTGTTCTCTTAGAACCTGCGTTGCTTGCCAAGTGAGCTTTTTGCAAAACGTTTAGTGTTTCAAGGCCATTCGCATCACCATGTTTTTTTATCACTTAGTGGATAACAATTTGGAAAGTTCGCACAGTATTGATGTTTAACTATTTTCTCAAATAGGTTCGATTTTCACAGTGAGTTTAAGGAATTTTTCACGTGAAGATATGTTCAGCATGCTTCATTCGCTTCTTTTGCTTCATTCTTGTGAAAGGGTTTTCTCAGAGTAAAATTGGAAAATTTTTAATGAGATACGTTTGGTAATGAAGACAAAAATGGAATGGTGCACAATAGGAAAATGGACAATGAGTGATATGATTTTGCTTGATTTTTAAGGGAAGGTTCAATTTTGAGATTTGTTTTTGCATGTAGATACGTTTAGTGGTAAAAACAGTGATGATCTGGTGCACTGATTAAGAAAGAATTGAGGAGATGTAATGCAGATATCAATGTTAAGTATTATCACCGACCTGAAGATGCTATCCGACGTTTGCTTATTTTCACAAATGAATAAAGCAAAATGTAAGGCGGTTGAAATAAACGACCGCTAACAGCGTTGTAGGCGACGGAATTGGGGTTGCATTTAGCTTGACGTCGTGATAAACATCAAGGAAGCAGACGGAACACGAAGATGGCACAAAACATCATACCATTGATGACGTCATAGGTTGCACTTAGGTTGAGTCGTAACGGTAAACAGTATGGAAGCGGGCGAAAGTGCAAGAATTAACTCAGAGATCTGGGCAAACATTCTTCGCCGGTTGTTGACGTCGGATGGTCCCCCCTGCGCTTTATTATAGGGTTAGAACAGAAGAATGGTAATCATATGTTGGAAGTCTTAAAGAGGTCGTGCTCAATTCAAAGGATTGAAAACATTTTTTCTAAAAACCGATTCGATGCAGTTTTCTGTGCGAACTTATCCGAGGTTCTCAAACAAACTGAATATTATTGAATCATCATTACAATAGGGTGCTTCTTCCAAAGTTATTGAGGAACAAAAGAATCTGCAATCTTTTGTCGTAATGTTGAAGGAATATGGAGGTTCAAGGAAAATTGTGAACTACCTGTTCCAATTCAATCGAATTCGGATCGCTCTTGTAAAACGACTCGGACTATACGGAAGAGTTAGCTTGTCTATTGACTGCATATTTTTGGTTATGCCATTTGATCAACATCATCTAAGACAGGCATCACTGCTTGTGAGTCATCAGCTCGGTACGCTTGCACCGGCACAAAACGAAGGACGGTTGTTTACACCCCTGGCGCGAGTGATGACGTCAGATGGGGGTGTGACAAAGTCCGGCACGGAGCATGCAATGAAGTTGCCTAAAACTGCTAATTTCGATCACTGTCTAGCGTTAAGATCTGGTCTATAGTCTAGGCCAGCTATGGAAATAGGTTCAGTTTCGATATCTAGCAATCATAACAGGTGGTTTTGAGAACACATTGGAAGTGGAAATGCCAACAACCATAACCGTAAGCTCTGATTTCCAAAAAACGCTCAGCAACTGTGAATTTTATAAAATTTTGCTTAAAAGCAGCGTACATCCACATTGCAGATGAGTGCCCAAAATTGAGAGCATCAATACAATAATTGTCATCTTGGAAGTTTTTTTTAGAGATTCAGAATCACCGTTAACTTCTTTCACATGAACGATCGTAATAGTTTGAGCACTAAAGCGATAGCTCCTTTAGACAAACTCTTTCATCTAACATTCGCACCATAATCTTTGGGTATTCACGGATATAATAGAGAAAATGATATTTGAGCACAACTGTGAAATGTTCTATTCAAAAAACGATCAGTTTTACGTTTGAAATAATTTGTGAGTAATCTAAAAGAAAGTTTTCCACTGCAACCCATTAGAAGTAGAAAAAAGGTTACTTATTTCTTTCTGATTCATGGAACAGTGCAACAACTGTAAATTTCATGTGCCCAGGAACATTTAGAACGTCCAGATTCAGATGACACAATCGCAGATAGTGTGAGACAGCGGTTAGTAATTTTGCGAATCGTTTTATCCAGAAAACTAAAATAACCCATTTTTCGATCGATTTGATAGTGTTAAGCTAACGCGACTGAATTCTTGAACCCTGTTGGCGCAGAATGTACATACCATAATCTTTAGATCGTTAAAATATGACCGGATAAAAGATGATCGTTTTGAAAATGTGGAATGATCTAATCAAAAAAGTCCTTTTGGTGAAAAAAGAGAATTCTGTGCGGTTACATTAGAAATGGAGTCGCCTACAAAAAAAAACTCAAAATATTTCTCAAATTTCGATTCTCGCAAAAGAAACTGCTAATCTGAAAAAGAATTTTATCGTCTCTTGTCATGAAAATTCGCATCAACTGTCGCCCTCTCAAATCTTTTCTGTTTGAGGCGTAAACTTCTCAAAAGAGACAGCATTAATATATTGTTTATGTAGTACTTTTATTTTTAGTTTTCGAAAATTTCATTTGGCTTTTCCCAATGCAAAGAACTTTGAAGCAATTGTCGAAGCCTCGAATCTGATGCAATATACAAATGAAAGATTTTTTTATAAAAATGAGATTTCATATGTTTGGTGCGCTCTGGCTTGAATTTTATTGCTCTGAGAGCAATGTGAAAGTCATAAACAATCACAGGAACGATGAAGTTCGAAAGGAAGATATTACAGGGCGATAGAAGATAACTTTTGTGCTTGTGAGAGATGGGTTTATCAACAAAAGAAATATGCCTTACCTGTCGTTGCACTTGGATATTGAATCCAACCTTGATAGCTGGAATAAAGCGAGTTTGTAGAAGCAGAGATGAGACTAATCGATCTCACCGCTTACAGTGTTGTGGTGACTTTTGACTGCTCTTGGCTGATGAGGAACCTTGATAAACAAAACCGAAGACAGACAGTCTAACGGCAAAGATCACGTACAAAAAAGGGCAGTGTTAAAGTGCAGGTCAGGGGGGGGGGGTACATGGAGCATCATAGAGCACAGGGTAAACAAAGCAAAAGTGGCACGAACAGACCGACATTGACGTCAGATGGGGGTGCCTGCGCTTTATTAAAGAGTATGATGATAACAACGATAAGCACGCTTAAATAGACGCGTTCGGTCGCGTTCCCGTTAATGCTGATAACGATGTCAATCCACAGTACATTTCTTACTATAAACTTGCTCCACCTCGTTCTTACAATGTGTTGGCTTTTATGAGTCACCGGAGCAGTAGGCCGTCGACTTTTTTCTAGGTCTTCTGTGCCGCGAGATATGAGGGATTTTATGTGCTTCAAAAATCAACTGATTTTGTGTCCTCACTTTCTGCTCTCCAAATGAATGCTACGAGAAAGTCGACGGTCTACTTTTGTTAATGAAGACTTGCTCTCTAACATAGGTAGATAATCAGCAGTGATTAAATCTTATTTGGCAGAAATCTGTTGTTGAAAATGACCATGTTTTCAGATAAAATGCGGTGTATCTCTTGGTAGAGGGGGGCTAGAAAGAAGTCGATGGTCTAGGTCGAATCCCATTTTCCTGAGCTTTCGAATGGTATATAGGTTGCTGGGCGAATAAACTTTCCAGTTTTCAAATTGGGGTGGAGATATTTACTATTAGCTTGCTCCACCCAGCTCGACCATTGTATAGGCTTTTATCGGTCACCGGAGCAAATGATTCTTAGAGCCGGGAAGCAAAAAAGCCCTAACATGCTTTATACCATTCGAAAGCTGAGATCATGAAGAAATCGACGTAGACCGTCGACTTTTTTCTAGGTCTTCTGTGCCGCGAGATATGAGGGATTTTATAAACTTCAAAAAACTGATTCTGTGTCCTCACTTACCGTCGCGATATACCCAAAAGAGTTGTAGCTTTGAACAAAGAAGTGTCGATTATATTACTAAAATAAATGATTGATTTTCATGGAACTGTAACGCTCAGGGACGTATTTATGAATGCTCAAAAAGAGTTTGTGCTTCTGTAGATGCTTTTTTTTGTAAATAAATAATATGAATAAACATAAATACGTTTCTTTTGTAAATATATGGGTGTACTTGTTGTTTGAGGTACTTAGTCTGCAAAACCTTTGAATAAAGATTTTTAGGGAGTCATCCGGAGTTTGGCCTCAAAGTGAAGGGGGTAATTCATCACTCCCCCTATCGCAACTATGCAGGGGATGGTATATGACACGCGGTGGAGTTTCCACAAGGATATACATCATTCCCAAGGGTCTTTGAGCGCTGAATTCAGAACATTCTTTCATATCTGCTCATCGGTTTTATGAACAAAGTTAGAGACATTTTTCCTCCTCGAATTTGCATGGTCAGATGCTGTGGAAAAAACCTAAATTCGTAATAAATGCGAGTTTGCTCCAAAATTACATGCTTAAATGTCTGAGGTATATTTATTTTGGAAAATCTGTGGGAATAGTTTTGGAGCTACTCTGCCGCCTTCGTCCAATAAGCAACTAAAACCAGTGTCACTTGAGGCCAGACAAATGCCTATAACTTTGTCCAGTGAACCGATAAGCAGTTATGGAAGGTTGTTTTGAAGGCAGTGTTCAAAGACCTTTCGATTGATATACATCCATAGGGAGACTCCACTGCGAGTCATATACCTTCTTTGTTGAGTCAATCAGCACACTTTCGACTTCGTTTTCCACAGAACAATCTTCTTGAACGATATCGGCAACCATATGGATAAAATCTGTCTTCATTCATCCAGGTACTTTCTGCATATCCAGAATGTCTCTGTCATATCCTCATCTTCCCTTCTTGGGTTCAACCATACTAGATCCACACACGACAGTTCTTCAAGTCATCAGTCTTTGAGTTGACTGACTGATACTACCACTTTCAATATTCCGCACTTTAGTCCCCTCAGGTGCTGCCGCACACCTTGGTGTTATAAACGCAACAGGACTTTTTTCTCAAAACTTTGTCCATCCGCTATGCCCGTCCTCTCGATCTTGACTATTTGCTGTGCCTCTTCGCACATTCTCCTGAGATCATGGCTTCTGAATGAGCCCTGGTTCTTGATGCCCTTCCCACATGGAAGGGCATCAAGAACCAGAGCTGGACCTCCTCCACTTGACTTCCTCTGATCAGATTGTGTGTCTGCCTTCTACTTCGACACTTCGACACAATTTCTATTTCTCAGCACTCTCGGATTTGCCCTTCATCTCAAAAGCTGTAGATCTGTTTACAGCCAAAGAAATCGCTGAATCTTCGCTTTTACTGAAGCTGCGTTTGTCTGTAAGAAGATATTATCTCCTCCTTTGCTTTTGCGTTTCTCCTTTATCCCTGAGTGAATGTTCTTCTCTGTCTTCCTGCAGTTCCTCATCTATTGTCTATGTCGACCATACTGGTAGCACCTCCTTCCCTTCCTTGACCATCGCCCGGCGGATCGCATGTTTTCCTCCTGTCCTCATTCTTCGTTCTTTTAGCTATGCCAGCACACCAACTTGCTCTGTCTTATACCTTCTCTAAGATTATCATCCTTGCAAGGAACGACCTTCTTTGAATCGGAAAGACTTTGAGTCTGGGTCGATAGGCTGGGGAGCATCATGGCTCTTTCCCAGGAGTGGTTTGGACTTGTTCACCCCCGTGGAGGTGAGGGCCGATCCCTGCAGCAGTGCAACGCTGGGCCGACCCGTGATGAGGTGCGAGCAAGCCCGCAACCTCATCCGGTTCCAAAAATCAAATAACCTTAACGAGACTCATTAGAGACTCTATCGAAGGTTAATTCGATAAGAACAGAAACTAAACTTTGATCTTAGCCAAAAGGCCGAGAAGCGATACCTTACCGAGTTGGCAGCGTTGCCACCTCAGCCAGTGAGTCGGACTCGTCGCGGGTCAGCTAGCGCTCACTATCTCACTATTGAGAGCGCAGGGAACAGGTGAGCACACCTGTGCCAGTAAGCGCTGTTTTACCAGCATTAATCAAATCCGGAAGTTTTGCTTTTACTTTCTTAGGGCTTAAAGTGAAGCCCTCGAGGCGATATTTTCCCGTGTATAAAGCGTTAACTAAAGCGGTTAAAGCTAAATTGAGAGCAAATCGCGTCTCCCGATTCCCGCTTCATTTTTACTGTCGGGATAATCCCGAAACTCAGGACAAATCCGGGTTTCGCGCAAGACTACAGATTTTCTCGTGATTTCTTATTTTGTGGGCGGATCTCCTGCGGTACTTAACCATGAATGTCTGAGTAACCACGAATCAACGATATTTTACGAATTTTCTCCTACATCACTCCTAATGACGCATGTTGAGCTTTGAGAAGTACCGTGCACCTTCTGCGCTCATTATTGATCGGGCCGGTTTCGCCGGCGCCGCGTGGGCCACTCATTCGGTGTGCGTGGCGGAGGCAGGCAGTGTCGTTTCCTCCTGCAGATTTTCTTCTTTGCATTTGTAGTACCCTTTTTTAACAAACTCATTCTGTTTGAACTTCAAGTGCAAACTGGTTTGTCAATTTCTAGGCTCTTGAAAGAGCTGTGCAACTGAGAAAACACTCGAACAGATTCTTCTATTTCTCGCGCTGTTTCTGCAGTTGGAAGCATTTCTGTATTAAAAAGGTTTCAGATGTCAACAGTCGTGGACGAAGATGAACTCCTGAATGTTCCGGAAGATCAACAGCAAGCCATCGAGGTAAATTTTCTTTTTGTGTATAAGGCGTACTTCTTGGTGCGTAATATTTCTTCAGGTTCAGAAGATGTGTTGATTCAGTATTGTGCTTTGCTCCGCGCAGATGCGCGCATGAAGTGCGGAGTAACATAGATGCATTTCTAAGACGTTACTTTTTGAAATTGGGATTTACGCGCTTCCTCCTGCTTTTGAAGAGATTATTTGAGGGTTTCAGAAAGCCCTCCTTCTGAGCTTCCTAGTTCGAATTGTAGTGCGGCGTCTTTGAGATGAACGTCAATGCAAAATCTTTGTTTTGTTTTTCAAATTTTGCGAAATGAGGGCGTCAGCGGCGCACTAAATCACTCCGTATTCCTCCAATGATGGCATTTTCACATTTTAGGAGATGTTCGACGTCGATGAACTTCTCGGACCCAGCGAAGGTAGCAAGGAAGAAGCCTCGACTGAACAAGCCAGTCAAGGCGGAACTTTATCGGAATGTGCTGCCGAAGTAAGTTGAAAGCACAGGCATTGCTTCGTGGCAGAAGCTTTCTACACAAGAGGAGTGGCTAACGCCAACGGCGGCAAGCCGTCTTCTCGGATATCAGGCAATGCCTACAAGGAGCCATTTGGCCTTGGCTATGCCTTGGAGATTTTCACTACATGGACTACAAAGTCCTGCCATTTTTGGCTTGTTCAGAATTTTGATTTTTCTCTTGTAGTTCCGGTACCATATGGTGTTAACCAATTCGCTCTCAGAGAGCTTCCTTGTTCCTACACAGCTTCAATTATCTCATGTATCTTTTTGTCCTCCAAGGGCTAATACTATGCCGTCCTTCCATCCAAACCGCGTATATGCGGTAGGTTGCACGTTATCGTCGTTTAAATTTAGGCCATGAGGAGGATTACCTCTTACACCTGACCTAGGTGACCCTACTTCAACTTTCTTTATCTGTATCTCAACGTTAGTGTACAATTTGAACTGTCGATGTTCAGCTTATTAATGACCTCTGACCTGATGCATTATATAGGCTGCATAAATGGTATGCCTATCACATCTAAGGCTTATATAACTTCTTTACTCTAATAAGTAGGTCTAGCATACTTGCGATGATCCGTCACTATATACTGATGTGGTTACGTTGTGTGCTGCTATTGTCAGATATGTTCAACTTCTCAATTTATTCCTATATATCGCGGATAGTAGGATTGGCATATTATCATCACATTTGTTAATTAGCCCTCTTGCTATCTCTTGCCGAAGGGTACGATGATGTGCTCGCACTTGGAAAAGTTTCGGTTCATTCTCGTTGGCTTTCAAGTGTGTGAAAGCGAGATGTTTATTGAGATTGTAATTTTCGTAATTGCGCTGATCTCATTCAAATAACAATGGCGTACTATCGAAGTGTCAAAATAATAGCTATGGAGAGTGCAGGTTGCAAGTAGCGCTTCGCTGCAAACACAGGGGAGAAGTTTATCACAAAACATAGTGCGGCATGTAAGTGCACGTAGTTTGTTGTGCAATGTGCTCTCAGACGAAGGCATTCGATATATCAAGCTGCGAACGATTCTTCGTCCATGCAGATGGGATTATGTGTAAAGTTACATTTTATCAGTTCTAGTACATCTCGCACTCCGATCAGTTGCAAGTACTTAGAACAGGATGAGATATCGGACTTCCCGAATCGACTGGAAACATAGCATAGAAACCTTTAGAGAGTCTACTAGACTTTCAGCGTTCAAAATCATTCTTGCAGAATCCACCTTTTTTTTGGCAAGGCAGACGAATTAACAAAGAAAGACTATAGGCTTGTAATGGTATCTTTTTACAAAATGGTTACGGGTGGAGGACCATATGTGGGTAGGGGAATGAACTCGGTCAGTTTCAACTGCCTCCGCCGACTACTGGTCCTGCAATGACATGCAGCAATATTGCAGTAGGACCAGTTGACAGCGAAGGCGGGCTCAAGCTGGCGGAGTTCGTTTTTTTCTACTACATGTTGCCAGCTTGGGGCTGCTCCAGCGCTCATTCGCAACAAATACGCACACTTGCACATGCACGGAGACGAGTTTTGCAAGAAATCCGCGCGGGAACTGCCCACATTTGGGGCATATGTCTTCTCCTTTCAATACCAAAAAATATTTTAGGCTACGTTCATACTGATTCGAAAGTTTGGGAACAGTATAAACGCAACCTTGGACAACCATGTAACCTAAAATAAACGTACATTGCGAAAACAGGCTATTCAGGTAGAGCACGCATTTTATAAGCGAAAAATGTCCCTCAGTTTGTCCAGTAAAGGTTAGCGGGTATAGAAGATCATTGTTAGCGTTTGAAGACCTTTGGCTAATCCGCTGGGAAAGGCTACTTCAAGTCAAATGTCTTTCCTCAGTAGTGAGGTGAGGGTTTCCTGCTTTTTTTTCGTGTGAACAATGTCTCAAAATATGCATTAATCACTATTTTCGCAATTTTGAAGATCATTGAAATAGAATGAATGAGATTTGTGTGAGAGAAGGCAAGTAAGCAAAAAAAATCTCAAAAGCAGCGGTGAATTGAACCGAAAATCATGTGCGTGCACCAGTCGTCTCCCAAACATAGTCTCTAAGACTATTTTTATTCAGTGGAAGTGAATCATAGCCAGCCATTCACTTTCTTGTCAATATTGGAGCGTATGCTCTTTGCTTTGCGCCTGTCACCTAAGTATTTCTTGTTTATGTTTTACAGATCTCGAGCCTCGAGCATCTGGAATTTAGAAATCTATGTTGAGGCAGTGCATTTTTGCACATCATGGGCTATTTTTGCAAAATCGTATTTCGAATCTTGGTCTAAGTTTGGGTGTGTCATTTCGATGAATAAAAAGAGAAAATTCATTTATTATGCAGACTAAATTAGTGGAATCACATATCAGGAGTACACTACAAAAGGGAAAGGTACAGTGCAGCCGTGCTTCGTGTCTCAGAAGTTACATGAGCTGGCTGCGAGATGACTACAGTGGACTGTCTACTTATGTGGAAGATCATTCTCGTAGTATTGCTATTCTAGTCTTAGTTTGGTGTAATATGTTTCAGTTCTATATCTCTTACGTATTTCTCCAGCAGGCGCCCCAACTCGCAATCAATCTTTCGTGATTTTTTTTCTTCTTTCGGAAGGCTCTTTCATCTAGAAAGGCGCAAGTTCAGCAATTATTTTCCCATTAGTGAGCCTTTCAAGTGTGTCTCTGCCTCATTAATCTAGCGGAAAATATAACTTCATCTGCAATGCCGCCTAAGTTTCATTCGCCGCTCAGTTTTGCTAATGTCACCCGCTATCGTTTCTCGTGAATCACATATCGCTAGTCAAGCAATTTTCATTCTCGTTTCAGATGATTATCCCCAATCATATGAAATTATCTGAGGTTACAATGAATTTGATGATGCATCTCGTCTTTTTTATAATTTGATAAAGAAAGGGCTCAAACCGATGAAATTCTAAAAGGAACTTGGCACATTTTCCACATCACGTCAACAGAAAGTTGTTCTGAAAAACAAACACTTCGAGTTAAATCTGTCCAGATTCTGTAATTTCATTGTGGAGAAGCTATGGTGATTCATACATAATGACAAAGAGTAAATAATTAGAGAATGTCTATGTATTTTTGAGAACTTGGCGTATGATATAAGATAAAGTTTGACTACGATTGGCGCAAAGGAGTTTAGGAGGATATTTCGTAAGTGCTTTGTCGAATCAAATAATCAAGTCGAAAAGTTATCATCATCGCACTATTTTATCATTTCCATGTTCATGTGTCTCAGAGTGAGGCAAAGCGTATATATGGTGGATTGTTCAGGATAATATTGTTACGGAGACTAGCACCACTGCTGCAGTAGTCGATGAGAGTTTCGAACGTGAAGAATTAGATTACGAAGAGGATGACGATGAAGAACATAAAGAAGAGAGAACAGGGAGATTTACATCTGAGAGGAAACCTGCTGATGCGGTAGGTGCTGGATAGATTTAGAGAGATATTTTACCCTGCTCCAGTATAAATTGCTGCAAAAGGCTTTGATTCTTTGACGAGTTATTGCTTTTTATCTCGGTTAGTGTAGGAAAAAATTTACCCGGTTGAACCTTCATGTTGCAGACTCCACCCACAAGCACAAACAACATAGATAAAGTGGAAGGAAGGCGTCAAAACAGTGGTGAGAATCGGAATCATAACAATAATCAAAAACAGTGGCGCAATGGCAGCGGACGAGGAAATGGTCGTGGTCGCGGAAATAATGGGCATCGTTATAGGGGTGGTCCCAACATGCAGTATGGTGGACCGGTGCGTGTATTTTTAAGCATCGAATAAAGTTATCTTTTTTTATAAATGTCTATTTATAGATGCGCATGCAGCAAGGACCAGGTATGGTAAATGGACCAACTCCGTTACTTTCACTGAATACGCAAGGCCTGTACCCGCCTTCTGGGGGAAAAATCCTTATCAATCCTAATTTCCGAGGACCTATGGGACCGCCTGGCCCAGGACCATTAGGTAAGCTTCATTCCCGAATTTTCTCACGCACAAAGTTCAATATTGGTAAAGCAGGTGCTTTACAGGTCCTGCAGGTGTGCTACCTCTGGTAGGTGCGCCGTCCGTGCTGCCAACAATTGTACCCGGGCAAGGTCCTATCATTCCTCGTTTACCCAACGGAATTCCTCTTACAGGTGTGTTTTTATCTCAACTCATAAGGCTTTAGTAGGAGCGCAGATACCACAACATGAGAAGATTAGAAGCACTGCATTACTCCGAATGTCTTAGGTCTTCCATCAAATCATGGAGCTGCTGGTTTTGGTCCTCCACCGTCAAGTCGCCCTCAAATGCCACCACCAATCATGCCTGGTATGAATACTGGGATCACTCGTCCCGCTCCAGTTGTACAGTGGGATCAAGCGGTTGAGGCATTTCTCAGTGGTTCTACGAGGCATCGCAGTCCACATAGAAGACATCATCGCAGTTCTTCCTACAGCAGTTATAGTAGCTACAGCAGCAGGTCAAGGAGTGCTGGAAGGTGGGAGGCTATTTTCTGGAAATTTGTTTTCGGAGGTCGTAAATGTTGGTGTTCAGCTCACGCTCGCGATCTCCTCGTCGAAGGCGGGAGAACAGAGGCGGAAGCAACAGACCAAGAAATCAGAGAGATCGTGGCGGTCGCGGAGGAAACAGCTTCCGGGGTCGAGCGGGGCAAAATCGCCGCGATGTGCCGAGGAGAGATGCAAACAGAGACAACAAGCAGGTAAAGAAAGTTAAATCTTACCTTATGTGTTTTTATCCTATCCTATCCTTAGTTTCATTCTAGATATCAGTAGAATGTGCAAAAGCAGTTGGACTCGATAATGAGTATCTTTCCAAGTTAGAGGATCAGCGCAGAAAGCGGGACGAAGTGCTGAGAAGAAAGGAGCAGCGCCGTTTCGGCGGCGGTGGCAACAACGAGCAGAGTTCTTCCTCAAACCAGCGTCAGAACGACCGAAATGACCGAGGAAATTACCGACAGAGCCAGGTTTGTTTAGCAAGACTAGCACTTTTTGTTACAAGGAGAGTAATGTTCTCGTTTTTTTTTTCAGCAAAGAGATCGCAGATCAAACGAAGGTCCATCTAACAACGATCAGAGAAGAAACGGTGGTGGCCCAAACCCGTCCTCAGTGCAGAACAACTCCAAACCATCTACGGAAGCAGAAGCAGCCCTTAGAAAGAACAAAGCTTACTTGTGTGTGAACGTTAAGAACGTTAAACAACTAACAACGGCCAAGATGCGAGTTGAAACGCTTGCAAAGGATTTGGGAGAAATTAGGGTTAGTGAGGATTAGGGTGTCTTGAGTAATTTTTGCGTCTTACGAATTATTGAAGTGAAAATCAGAAAAAAAAACGCAATTTGTAAAGTCAGTTCGATGCTTAAGTGTTCTAGATATCTCTGTACTTCGTTATGCTAACTATCTACCACTATTTTCAGAAATGCTGGAAGTCGAATGAGGACCAAGTGACTGTCATCTTCGTCGAGCATTCTAAAGCTAAGGAATTCATGCTAAAGTACAACAAGTATGTGACTCTAACCCCTCAAAATTTATGCCCAAACCATTTTTTTAGCAAAGTTTTATCTGGTCTTCGCATACAAGTTGGACTGGAGAAAGCTTATCTCAACCTGGCGGAAATTCAATAGCCTTTCATTGTTTTTATATGTACCTAATGTTTCTGAACGTGTATCTTCCCTTTGCTGTCTTTATCGCATTGCAGTTTATGTTCTCATTTATAACTTGTCGAGTTTTATAGATGTAGGGAAACCTAAGCCCCCACTTTGTACTTTGTAAGAGAGTAACATCGTAATGATTTGGCATCTCTTCTTCCACAGACACATGCTTAACTCTTATAAATGACTTTGTTCATGTTTGTTTCATATGTCACGCTACCAGTTTTAACTGTAGTTGAAATAAACTTATATTTAGTAAAGTGTAAACTCTATGTAGTCATTTTTGACTAAAACAATTAGCATAATGCTACCCTAAATTTCCATCTTCCTCAGATTTGAGCAAATTCTTATGCTCTCACAAAGACAAGAAATAGACGCAGGTATTTGAGATGCAGGACTGCTATACGTCTTTATTTATATTCATAAAGGGACCAAAATAACTTGCAAACAGTGTATGTGTTCACGTCAAAAAATACATGCTGAAAAGGTTGTTCCTCAAAACTTCGGACGTTTGTAGTCCCTGAAAAAATGGTCATAGAGTTGGCAATACCAGAGCTGCGAAGCGGTGCAATCTCAAACCTGTCATCTTCTAGCCCGCTCTTCCGTTTTTCAATCAATTTATTGATCTGATTTAGCTCTTTATCGATTTTCTTGTTTACATCCACACTCTTTCTCGTCTTCCTTCCATCACCTGTCTTGACACCATACTGATAAGCAGCTTTTGGCATAGCTTCTCGCGAGCCCTAGATAAAGCTAGTTATGGTCTAGGCCTTAGGTTGATGTCAGCAAAGAAGGTAAGCACATCATACCATAGAAAGAATATTGACCAAAAGCTTACCTGGAATTTTTCATAATCGTCGTCGTTGTCAAATTCCCATCGCTTAATGGTGGATTTCTTTGACCCCATATCCATCATAGTCAGGTCTTCTTCATCAGAATCCCAACCTCCGCCCAATTCAGCCATTCCACCAGGATAGCACTCATCGTAGCTGAAAAAATGTTTCATAAAAAAGCAAAATGTTTCAAATCCCAAAAACCTACCCTCCCATCTCAGCCTCCTTTCTTCTTTTCTCTATTTTCTCCTCTAATCGTTTTTCTTTATCTCGCTCTTCCCTCTCTTTGCGTTCCTTTTCGCGTTCACGCTCCTTTTCGCGATCACGTTCGCGATCGCGCTCTCTGTCACGATCACGATCGCGGCGATCAAAATCACGGCCGCCACGCCTGCAATGACCATTGTTGTTGTTAACTGAATGCCAAAGTGAACAGTGCAAAAGGTACAAACCACAATAAAAATAAAATTCGGATCATGAGAATGAACGTGTTACGCACCTATCGCGATCTCTATCCCTCCTATCTCGGTCATCTCTCTTGGCGCGATCATCCTTTGCGTCGAAATAGTTGCGATCTTTTCTCTGATCCCTGTCCTTATCTTTGCGATCCCTGAATGATGATTATCATCATGAAAGAGCTGGCAGCAAACAAACAGCACAAACCGATCCTTATCCCTTTTCGGCGCATATTCACCCTCGTTCTCGTAAATGCTCTGAGACTGATACTTCTTCACCTCCTCGTCCGTCATATCAGGCTTCTTCTTCTTTTTATGATCAGAGCGGAGATATGAGAGCACCTGGATAATTTTACAGATGCAGCTAATTTTCAACGATAGGTTAGGATTCTGGGATGATTTATTTTCTAATTCTGATGAAACTTCCTACCTGGGTCAGCTTTGATATCAACATGTTGTTGGCGTTGATGTTAGCGTTAGATTCAGCTTTTGGACAATCGTGCAATGACCTGTTATTAATCAATATAGCGGAGTAAAGAGACGCATTTTTGATATTTCAAGCGATGAAAAGAGAAAGTCAATTACCGGAGTAGAGTTGTAGGAATTTCAGCTTCTTCATCTTCCATGTCAACAACATACGCCATTCGACCCTTGCCAAATAATTCGTTCCGTGCTGGTAGCTCGTTTTTGAACAAGATTCGATGGATTCCTCTGACCATTTTATTATCTGACATCTTTTCTACTGCTTCTACACCTTTTTGATCCTAAATTGGGGAGTCCAAGTAAGTCAAACAAAACTTAATGCAAGATGTCAACCCACATAGGCCATTTCTAGCTCATCCTCAGCCTCGACTTCCGCTTGCGATTTGTTGATCTCACTTCGTACTTTGTTAAGCAGTGAATAATCAAGACCTTTTACTAAGTGAGTATGCTCCATATCTCCTCCAAGGTACTTTGACTCCTATAAACAGAGACGGTCGATTTCGGATCAAAATTCAAGAGAATGGAGGGGACAAATCGACTGAATGATATAAGACTCACAGATTCTAGTAAAATATGAGTAGCAAGGATATAGCTGAACATAACTCTTACCTCAATAACTTGCCTCCTCAAATTTGCTTTATCAGTAACTGCACGTGCATCTCCAGGCATTGCACGATAAGCCGCCGCTAATTTGACTATCTCATCATTATCCTAAATGAAGAATTCTATTACAATCACAACAAAAATACGTAGAAACTGAACATGTAAACAACTTACATCGTTTCCCTTCAGCCGACGTTCGAGGGCGCGATCCCGATAATTCTTCATAATTTCTTTCAAGTTCGATTCCTCTTCATTGAATTCACTCTTTTCCTAAAAATGTAGGACCCCATGAGACGTAAGATATATGAATGTATGATTAAGTACCTTTTTATGCTTATGACCACCTCCTCCTCTTTTCTTATCGGATTTTGGCTGATGTCGATGGGTAAAAGAATGAGAAGTTTCAGCAGCTGCAGTCTCAGCGGCTGGTTTTTTCGGTGCGCTGAGCAGCTTCCGGAAATCCTCATTGCGGAGGTTCCTGAATTCCAATATTCATTTTCACCTGCACGCTCGAGGCGCTCCATAAATAAACAAATCATATATTTCAGCGATGCAGTGAAATATACGCACAAAAAAAGAACGAAATATCCATAATAAAATTTTCACAGATGATGTGCAAAATCAACATCAACAGTTCCACATATACTGCAAACCATAGAAAGAATAAAAACTTACGCCGTTTCTGTCATCCTTGGCTGTCTTCCAAAATCCTTGGTGTCCTTTTCAATTGGTGCGCGATGGGTTTTCTCAAACAAGACGTATATTCTAATGATTGTAAAACAACGCAAGAATTGGCGAATAACGAATAGCCACGAGCAGCGAAAAAAAAATCGAACATCTCATTTCCCAACTTGCTTCAGCGGTTGCGTTGCGTATGCGCTTGGAGCGCGGTGAATGACATCACCTCAATAACAAATGAATAAATTGCGTCTCTGGGGAAAGGTTGCAGTTGCTTTGGTGAGGTTTTATAACGAAGAATGGAAATGTGTGTTATAGCTATAGTACTATACTCATAGGTCGTTAGAATTTGTATGTCGTGTCATTTTCTTGCACTTTCAGGGGAAATAGTCTCTCCTTCGTATTTTCGCAAACCCATGCAACATATCCTTGTTACATTGATATAAGCCCTTTTTATTTGTTTCTGCTTTTCTTGACGCTTTTTTGAGTTGGTTTTCCCATCAAAAATTTACTTCACTCATTTGGTTCTCTTAATTCGAAATCTTCCTCTTTTGACGTTCATGGCATGCCCTTTTATGAAAACGTCATTTGTTAACATTCATTCTGAAACTAAGAGGCTGGAAATGGTTGTACACATCGTAAAACCAAGCGTGATCTTGTGTTCAACGAGTATGAGGTCTTTCTGGAATTAACTGCAACTTGTAGCCAAGATTGGTCAAGTTGGAGCAAGTTAAGACAATGTGTACAAAGCGGTCCCCTTTCTTCTAGTCTCACAATGGATGACGGGTATTTGACCGCTGCCAAGAATGAAAACTCAGGGCAACATTAAGTCCCTCCCCCTCCAAGTCTTTAGATTAGTTCTTTCGCAACAACCGCCTATTCTCCAAAACAAGTCCAGGATACCGATAGGGTGAATTCGAACACAAACACGGTCGATCGATTCGGATCGTACGGTGACCGCGTCCTGACTTTTGAGTGCACTTTACCAGCGTACGGAACTGCACTCGCACAGTCGTCTGATCATTGTGTCTGCTAAGTTCTTTTTCCATTCTAGTTTCCAAAACTAGGCTTGATTAGGAATCTCTTTTTTCCTATTATAATCTTCCTTCCATGAAAAAAGTAACTTATCCCTCTTCCATTAAAGACAGTCTCGAACATCAATGTGGTTTTGTTAGAATTTCATGCATTCATTCCAAGACATTGCAGAGGTACTGTGTACCTCGATGTTTTCTCTTTCCTTACGTCGACTAATTGCTTCACAACAGGGTTCAACAGTCGCCATTGGAAACATACTAAAGACTAGATTTATGTCGTCAGAAAGATTTGGTAGGTATGATTGGAACTTCATTCGATTTAAGTTCATTTTACCAAATTCTAGTAGAAGTTAAAGGCAGCGGCTGGACAGATTCTCTACATGGGGTTTTTTTGCTTACCTGGGGTAATTCTGGGTGCGTATCGTTACATGCGGACTGCCCTTTGGAAAACATCGCGCGCGACAGGCTGCCAGTGACCGCACTCGGGAAATTCGGCTAGCATGATTCTCAGCACACAGTTTCTCAATCTCTCATCCGTTGTTGAGGTTCACAGACTATTCCCATATTATTATAGTTTTGCTTACTTATTTGAAGTTACCCCACAAAACCTGTAAAATTAGCACTTTGGAGAACAAAAAGACACAAACTGTTGAATGTAAAAGACTGCCAGTATAGAAGAAGCATTGATGATCTAGGTGTATAGATTTGACATTTGCTGCACTACTTCTCCCCGCGCGCTGCCGCGTTGCGACGTTTTCCAATGGGCAGCCCGCACGTAACGAGCGCCCCCCGGTAATTCTAGGCGCTAATTCCGGAGATCCACCTTAAAGAGCGCGAAAATGGCAATAACCGCCATTTCCCAAGGCCTCCAATTTTGAATTTGGACGAGTGGAGCACGTCCCGCCATGATTAGAGAGGCGGAATCGTTGCGGGACCACCGCAATTATAACATTGCGGCATGCCTTCTACTCAGACACTCGCGGTTGACTCGCGCAGGGCAAAACGATGTGTAGCCATTGAATGCGTGGGCGACTCGCGAAATCGGTGTCGCGGCAAAATCAGGACACCTGATTTTGTGTCGCGGCAAAAGTGCGCGGCAAAATCGGGGCAAAATGGGGAGACCTGCGCGAGACACCAAAATGTCGCGATCGCGTTCAGAGCACGCGGCCTACGCCCTTACTGACAGCTTTTTGCGTCCTCTAAGCCCTCTCTCACGCCTCCCTTTTCACTTATCTGATGTCCTTAATCTCTTTGCGTCCCACTTCTTATGCTTGTAACTTTTCTGCTAATAAAACACAGTCTTACGTCGCGAAATTTATTAACAAATACACACGATCCTCTCGAGCAAGCTTTACATTAACATCGAAATGAGACACACAGACAGACAGCAAGTATGAAATTCGAAGCACCACTATAACGACGCAAGATTACGAAACAACTACAACAAAAAATGTAGACAAATCATCAGGCTTCCTCGATGTCTTCGACTTCATCTTCTACGCATTCAGTCTTCTGAATCACCAGGTCTTCCTGAGTGGTACCGGTACTCCTGCCTTCAGAGTCTTCGATGACGACAGGTTTTTTCTGAAAAACAAGAATTATTGATACCAGGACCACATAAAACAGATGAATCACCTTTGATGGATGAAGAGCGGATCTTTCAAGGTCAAAATGATATGTTCGGATGTCTGCCCTGCAAAATTAGGTTAAGAAGTATGTATCGCTTCTTCTCTATGAGAAAACTCACAAGGCCCTCCCTATTGCTATCCTTGCGTGACCGCTCCATACAACTCTTTTCTCTGAGAGGACGTTGAATAATTTCTCGCGACCGTCATCATCTTCTGCTAAGGACAACCACCACCTAAATTCCAATGCACATAAAGGTCTTCCGAGGACATGCATACCTATTGAATTCCGCTTATGCTCATCTGGCGTCCGTAGAAGTTCGTCGCGGTAGAGGCCGAGAGCGTCAAGGACGAAACCTAAATCAGTTATCAAAAGTAATGTACTTAAATACACATCGACCCACTTATTAAGAAATCGACCAATCCTTCTGGGAGGTCTTTAAAATGATCAAATTTTCCCTTCTTCCCGCTCTGTCTACAGGCGTAGTTTTGTATTACCGTTGGAGGTTCGCAGGCCTAAACGGTGATCACGAGACAACCTTATCATCTTCACCTATTAGTCGCGTACATTTAGAAAGAAGTGCCGCAAAAAGTCGAGGACCAACAGGAAATGGTCATGCTTATGAGCGCGTTTTGGTCTCTGCCACTTTTCCATGACTTCGATCATATTTAGACCCTAAAATCAATACTTTTCCCTCGTCGACTGAGAATAATCTCAAGATGACCTTAAAGGGTGGTGCACTTTCAAGATGCCAGACCCTGGATATATTACTTCTCTGTAGTAAGCAACCCTTTGGCAACGATTTCTCCCGATTTTTTGCAACGTGAAAAGACCTTTTCAACTCTTTGTCTTGTTCTCTCAGCTTCGATAAAAGAGCGTTAACCTGCAAACACGGACAACCGAGTTCGATGAGCATTGTAGTGTTTCTACACTTGCCTGCATGTTTTTCACATGCTGCATATTAATTTTGATATCGCTTGTCTTCGACGTGAGCATCTCTTTAGATTATGTAAGTATTCCCATCACCCTCAGCAGAACATATATACATATATCACCTCATTTTCGACAGTGATGTCAAATTGTCGTACAACTCCCCCTAACTTCGCAAGCGACACAATGTTTTCCTACAGGACTCGCTTTGAAGCCCCTAAAATACTCCTCATCCCATTCCAAACGTTAGAACGACATGAACGCGACAGCTAACCCGTGGAGGATGTGGAAAAAGCAGGAATCGTTGCTGGCTGCAAGTCACAAGAAAGTGGAAAACTTTCATGCGCGGAGTACGGCACTGTTCTGCATCTTGCAAGGAGTACAATAACGATTTTCTTGGTTGCGCAGTTTGTCAGGTGGTTCTCCTCGTTCTTTGCTTATTGCTCCGTTTTCGCTCCTATGGCCGTTTTCATCTATTTTCATCTATCACAGTAGTAGGCTGTGGTAGGCTCAACCGACAAGACCGGTCACGAAGTGACCGGTTCCAGACTCAGTATTAACTTATTTAATGAATTTCGTGACCATAATAATTACCTAGCTAGAGATGGTGGGTTGCAGTGGGTTCGTGAACTCAAAGGGTGACCTCGTGGGTTGCTGAACTCAATATATATGCTGAGGAATAAGCGACTTATAGTTTATAATTGAATTCATGTTACTAACATTTGGGGTTCGTTCGTTTTAAAAAAGGCGTGGAAAAATAACCCTGAATACCTAAAACTTCAAATTTCCTCTGAGATTTGTAAAGCAAACTTTGAACCCAAAGAAAGTGAAGTTAGTGGTACGTTCGGGAAGACCGTGATGGTGTCGTTAATTATAATATTATTAACGAGTGTTCTTCGATTATGTGAATGTATCCATTCTGTCATGGACAAGTTGCAGATTGTCCGTGCACCTGTTTAGCTGCCGGGTCACCCTCATGGCCCTTGATAATGTACTCAGCGGCGCCTACTTTCAATTAGGCGAAACTCTACTGCATTGATAGCATTCCTTGCCAGAAGTTGGCATCCAGGCTGTACACGCCCAATTTGGCTGTATAAAAGAGCCTGGATACCAAGTTCTGGAGTCGTCACTATCGCCCAGTCGCTGTTCGTCACTATTCCCTTCAAATAAATCCGTTGTTGCCACCCAATTTGGTCTTAAAAGATGGTAAACCCCTCAATCCTCAATTAGGTGTTAGCATAACTGACAGCTCAAACTACCCACAGGTACGGCGGGGCAAGTCTTTCGGGTAGATAAGTTCCCACACCCGATAAGATGTAGCTCGATGCGAACTCGTTGAATGAAAGGTGCTGAGGCTCTATAAGCCGTGACAAGGCTCTACAAGCCGTAGTAACAGAAGATAAGCAAAACATGACATCTTGAAGAAAAAACCTCGGTTTTGATTTCAATGAGCTACTGAAAATCCCTCAAAAGTCAGCATCTGGGGTGAGTACGAACTCGACACTGTCGGCGATGAGCGCCGCACACCCCACAAAAATAACTTCACTTACCTGGCGAATGCTGCATGACATGATATAGAAAGTATACTATAATATATGACTCCCTCCATGAGCAAAACAACAGCAGGCGTGGACCAGTAGATGTTCACAGCGGACAACAGCACTCAAAACTGCGCTGACCAAATACATCACATTGAAAACTGAAGCACCCTATATAGTCAAGTGCGCTTTCGAATATATGTACAGATGCTTCTGAACGTCCTCACCTTATACTCCTGAGTTTTCCCATATTTCGCCAGAGGGTCTAGTCGTTCTAGTACCTCCAACATTTCATACATATAAAAAAGTTAAGAAATCACTTGGGGAAGAAATGATAGCCTCACAAATAAAAAGCTGACCTCATTTTATCGCTATCAAAGGGTGTTTCAAATAAGTTAGCAGCAATATATGTATAGGCACATGCCGTATGTGATGGGAGTATCGGTGAGAGTGACGCATCCAGGAATGCCATCTCAATAAAGAAACTTTACGAGTAAAAACACACAACACAAACAAAGAACGTCACCTCGATCAAAAACTTTGCCATATGATGCATTCTCATGTCGAATTTCATCTCCTTGCTGAATCACCGCAAAATGGTGAGCGAATGTGGGCGAATCTCATGAGATTCGCTGAATATGTAAATTCAGCTAATCTAGAAAAGTTATCCCGAGCATCAGAACAAGCTGGCAACCAATGTAAGCCAGTTTAGCCTAGAACATGGAAGTTTAGTCATGTCAAGAACTTTATGGTGTTTATGTTTGCTACCTGTCGAGTACCGGTAATAATTTCTTCGTCTTGCTTCAACAAAAATCGCTCGAAAGTTGATGTTGCGTGGAGAGCGTTCAGCGGGAAATCTTCAGCGTCCAGTGTCTCCAGATCATGGGCAAGAGTAAGCAGGAAGTCAACTAGTAGTGTGCATATCTGAAAGACTGAGACTGTGCAGAAATTCTAGAATTTCGATCTTCCGTTACGACAAGGCTCACCTCCTTAGATATCTTCAACAAACACACAGGAATGAAATCGAACTCTAAGAAGGCTATGACGTCTCGCCATATGTTCAGCTTCTCTTCAAAAAATCGAAATAACCGAAATAACAAGTCCATGTGAGTACCCACTAAGTACAACTGCTCGCAAGATCTCGAAAAAGTTCTCCAAATTTCCTTCGGCTAGCTCTTCGTTATTCACACTATTGAAACAGTGGTTGAAGTGTCGATTCCACAAAATCCTGCCTGGCTTCCTAAACAGCTCAAAAGTCGAGCTGAAAAAGGAAAAGCAAAAGATAGTGTGAGAGGTCATAGCGGAACTGGTAGGAATAACGAAGGGTCAAACAACGAAACCGTGGCAAGAAAATCTCCCGATAATCAGATAAAAAGTTGGAAGCACATGGTAAGATAACATTTGATTGACTTTCTACACACAAGTAATCTCAAAAATATCGAGTTAGAAAGTGTTGGGATCCACTGTTTCAAGCAAAAAGATTGAAAAACAATGGAAAGCAAAGTGCTGAAGCACCCTCCCCCCCCCCCCCCGCAATAACAATTGAAAGAGTAATTCAAATCGAAAGGAAGAGAAGCAAGAAAAGCTAGGAAGAATTGACCTATACGTGCGTTATTTCGAAATCTTCGCCCGTCGCGGCAAAATCGCACTAAAATCGGGGCGAAACTAAAACGATGACTCGCGCCGGTCCACCGGATTTTGCTGCGAACGCCCATTTTGTGGGCGGATCCCCTGCGCGAGTCAACCGCGAGTGTCTGAGTATGACGGGCAGCGAGAATTGCAAGCTTGTCCGCGTGCATTACAATGTCTTGCGCGTAACGGGTTTAGGGGCAGTTTTCTAGGCAAAGGCAGCAATGCTGTGCGCTCGCACCTGCTCTGTTCTCATGTTTGGGGCGCAAGCAACTTTCCATGTCAAAATCTCGGGATGTTTGGTTTTGGCGAGCTACTGCCTTAAAGGAAGCCTCTCGGGCATGTGTTTTAATGCTGAAAAAGACTTTCGGCTCTAGTGTTTTCATCATTTATAACCTTCCAATGGACCTATTTTGGATATGAACTGCAGAGTAGGCAACACTGGGAACAACCTTTCTTGAACCATATCTTGGCAAGCGTGAAGGTGCGTCGAATGTGCTCGCCATATGAAGCTGTACGCGCTTCACATGGCGAGCACATTCGACACTTTATACTTGATCCACTTCATCCACTTCGCTGTTAGTCAAAGAAGTGAACTGAACGACAGCGAAGAGAATGTGTATAGTTGCTGTGAAGGGCGGAGTGGGCATAGAAGGTGGAGTTAGAGAGCTCTACGTGATCGCAAGGCTCGATGAGTTTGCTGTCATTGCACACGCAAATTGATACAAGGCCTCAAACCAGTTGAATAATCCTGTATTCAAGATCGTTTCAAGTAATCAGAAGCTAACATCTGATAGCAGAACAGCGCCTGAAAGGAGAAAGATATAACTGAGAAAGCTCAATGCGCATGCAAGCCGCAAACTCACCGACTCCCTCGACACGCAGAGGTCTATATCAGTGTCGGATCACTCTTTTTGGGGAGCTTTTCTCGCTTCGGAAGCAATGTTTTACTCAACTTGGGCACCTAATGTTGAGGCCCAAGTTTTTGTAGTTGTCACAAATGCGTCAAGAAACACACGCCTAAGTGCGCGGCCTGGAACACTTGTCCTACTTTGCAAATCGCGTGAACTATGCCCAGGGCATATACTGCGACTTAGCCCACGTTTTGACATGATCGCGAAATGTATAGGGCTTTCAGTTGCAGTGTCGGGTGCACAAGCATCTCCGCTACCGTGCGGCCGCTTCGCATGTATTCTGCACCTCTTTCGCGAACATGCTCACTGATCACTTTCCTACCTCTAGCGTGGGAAAGGCCGGATCCCAGTCGAATTGGCAATGATCGGAGAGCATGTTCGCGGAAGAGATGCGGAGTGCCGCGCGGGAGTGGAGATGCTAGTGCACCCGACACTGCAATTGATGAACCCTGTATGTACCTTTGCGAGAAGCAGCAGTTCGCTGAGTCGGAATTACCGGAGGTTTTCTGTTTTACACGTGTTTGAACTTCAACTGTTTCAGGTCCTAATGACATTGCCATCAAGAAAATTGAAGGCGTGAAGGACCCCAAGGAAGTGACTGAAGAACAATGGAAGAAAGTGCTTCCTGCTGAAGTTTACGACGTTACCAGGAAAGCAGGTTCGATTCGACGTTTTAGCCAAACGACGTGAAGTGTCATTACTTCGTCCTTTGTATTCTACCGCATGTGAATGTCACATTCCAGGTACTGAAGCACCATTTACTGGTGCTTTCGATAAATTCTTCGAGAAAGGCCGTTACGTTTGCCTTTGCTGCGGCGCAGAGCTCTTCAAGTAAGTCGAAAGATTTCTCTTATGCTAAGACAACTTTATGAGGTTCAGCTCTGATTCTAAATACTGGTCTGGTTGCGGATGGCCTGCTTTCTCAAAATCGGTCGATAACGACATGAATATCGTACGCATTCCTGATAACTCTCTCGGCCGACAAAGAACCGAAGTGCGATGCAAAAAGGTTGGTTTACGTGTCTAGAATCCTCGTACGTCGAGTTCGCAAATGATACAATCCAGTAGATTTTTCGCTTGATATAGTTGTGTGCGGCGACATTGGGCGACTAAATTTGTGCGCGAACAAATAAGCAGGGTTCATACTGAGCCGCACAAAGCGGCACAGTTCCAGCACAGCTCTCGAACTGTGCCGGAACTGTGCTGCATGCGCAGCTGGAGTATTTTGACCGTTTCTGATGGTTTTTCTTCTAGGTTTCTCTCATTTCGAACCTTATTCCTCCACCCCGTTTTTCCTTTTGATGAGTGGAACTCCGAGCGCAAAGCGGGGTTGAAGAATAAGCGCTGTTCTGCTTTGTGTGTCCGATTATGCGTGTTGTTCCGCTCGTTCATGTCTTTTCGTTTTATTCTTGCATAAATGTATTCTTTTGTTTCCGGGAGGCCGCTGCAATATTTTCGCAGGCATTTTTCTTGAAGGGAGCAAAAATAGTGCAGAAGAGCAGGAAATTCCATTGATCTGTTGGCCACTTTTGAACTCCTAGCCCCATTTCGTTTTCATTTCATTGTTTTTTCGTTCTTTGTTTTACCCCGCTTCCCTTCTCGTTGTGTAGCGCTTCGAACTTGAAGCGGGGTAAAAGAAGGAATGCGGTTGTGCTTCATGTATCCTCTCAGCCGCGTTCTTTTTCCATTTCATTGCTTTTTCGCTCTTTCTTCTACCTCGCTTCAAGTTCGAAGCGCTACACAACAAGAAGGGAAGCGGGGTAAAACAAAGAACGAAAAAACAATGAAATGAAAACGGTAAGGGGCTAGGAGTCCAAAAGTGGCCAACAGATTAATGGAATTTCCTGCTCTTCTGCACTATTTTTGCTCCCTTCAAGAAAAATGCCTGCGAAAATGTTGCAGCGGCCTCCTGGAAACAAAAGAATACTTTTATGCAAGACTAAAACGAAAAGACATGAACGAGCGGAACAACACGTATAATCGGACACACAAAGCAGAACAGCGCTTATTTTTCAACCCCGATTTACGCTCGGAGTTCCACTCATCAAAAGGAAAAGCGGGGTGGAGGAATAAGGCCCGAAACGAGAGAAACGTGGAAGAAAAACCGCCAGAAACGGTCAAAATACTCCAACTGCGCATGCAGCACAATCCGCGCGGGACTCTTCCAAATTCGGCGACATATAGTCCTCCACCCAGCTGCGCAGGTAATGCGGCCGCTTGCGCGCGCAAAATGCCGGCATCACTGGCGTGGCTATTAGTCCACGCGCGAATTCGTTCGCCCAATCTTGGCATCGCAAGTACACCATATCAAGCGGAAAATTTGTCAGTATTTGAGACTCTTTTCTCTATAGCAATGTAATCCATAAAGTTTAGTGTAACGCACACCTCGGACATGTATTTGACGATGGTCCAGAGGACACCGGGGAACGATACTGCATCAACAGTGTCTGCATGGCGTTTGAGAAGGCCGAATGAATTGCACAATCCTACTAATCATCTCGCTAACCCTTCTACCTCTAAGACTCGACTGTTGACCCTCTTTCGTGCAGACCACCTCGATGTTGAATTAACAAGTCGGATTAGTTTGACCTTAATGTTGCAGTCACTTTTAAAATGTACACAGTTCTTATATATAAAGCTTACTAGATAAATCAAGGCACAGAATAGCTTATTGTTGGGATATATGCAGTAGAAGACATGAGGTTGGGCAAACACTTTGTTTTCTGCGATAAAGCCGGAACTTGATTTTTATTGTACGCCCAGCACATACGGAATGGCGAGCAACACGATGAAGTGTACAGTCTGTTTCAACCCGAGTAGGCGCATTACGCAGCAGCGCTTCAACACCGCGGAAGCTTTGTGGGTGCACAGTGTTGACATCCTGCCAACAAAGGAGGAAGATGAAGTGACGCAGACACGCAGCGGAAGCACGCATACTGTGGCAGCGGAACGGCGCATTGCGCGGTGGACGCCCACCAATCAGTCCCCGCCTAGAGTGGGTTGATACTTACTGTATAGGCTGCCACCGGACGAAGCGCAGAAGTAATACTAGTTGAGCGGGCGCGGACGCGGCGCGCACGTATCCTCACCGTTGTAAATCCTGCGCCTCATGCGCTCTGCGGCTAAAGCCGCGATCGCGCCCAAAGGTATTGCGTCTTCGTCATGCAGCAGCCTTCAACACTTATGTCAATCAGGTGCCTTCTTCCGCAAGGGAACTACGCATGCGCAAGGCAAGGCCTTGCGCGAACATGCAATCGATGAGGCCAATTTAAATGCCCGTGTCATACGAGCGCGAACATGGCGCGAAGCACATTGCGCTTACGGAAAAGGGAGCACGTGGTTAACACATTCACGACAATACGACATACCGGTGGGTCGTAAGGTTCTTGAAGCTCTAGCTTTGCCAGTTTACGATGGAATTCCACGGGGTTTTGGAACATGATTAAAGGCGAAGGCGAAGCGCCAGCCTGAGTGGTCCGGGTTCGGGATAGGTGTAATGTTACGGTAGGTATACCGTAGATAGAGGTAAGGCACAAATTTTAGCTCAAATTTTTCGCAGAGTGGTGCTGTTTTTGATAATTCAAGTTTACATGCACGAGAAATACGGGGAGGGCATACATTGATGTCACTGTGGTCCCACTGTGGTCAGCCCATCAAAAATTATCGATTTTATCATTTTTCGCATTGTTCACAGGAAGCTAAAACTTATATCTT